CCTTGGCCATCTCCTGGCCAACTCTATCTGCATATTCTTCCCATGTGTTTGCTTATTTTCCCAAGGGACAGTCATTCCCTGGCTCAAAGGGGCAAAATAATAAAGTCTAAATGTGCCACAAATGTCCTCTTGAGCTGTTTTATCGAGCAAGGAGCAACCAAGCAGCAGCTTATCTGCATTTATTATGATATTTCAAAAGAAAAATGAATCTATTCGTTCGAACTGTCTTCTATGCCTATGATAGTTTAGGAACAAAACGACCCAAACAATACCAACATTTAAATGTCCAATTGATCAAAATCTGATGCAGTGTAATGCCTACAACTAAGTTTCTTGTCTTTGTGTGGTAACGGCTATTGATAAAACTTCCCCCTTAGTCATAGTGGGTTCTATATTCTCAAGGACCATGCAGCGTTTGAATTGTCATATTAGAGATAAAGCAAGAAATGTAAGTATCAAGATCAAAACCAGTGTGCAGGGAGTGGGGAGGCCAGGGGCATGCACCGACCCTCCGCCTTGGAAGCATTGATATGGATTCCAGAGCAGTGATTAACTGAAAGCACATGCTGCCAAGTCAGTACCTGCCAGAATTCCTGATCAGAAGACGAGAGAAAGAAAAAACAAATTGATATTGATTATATGAACAAGCCCCCCCAAATCAAACACATATATCACAAAATGTAACATACGAAGGAACAATAACAACCTGTGAAAATTATCACTGAAACCTGGAAATACAAGAACAAACAGCACAAATGTTCTAGACATCACCCATTAGGCACAAGAAAACAAAGATCTACAACACAACCTCCCAGCACCAAATCACAGAGCTGCAGGACAGCAGCACGCTCCTCAGAGAGATGGCATGAGTCAACGTGGTTTCAAAAGAGTTGTAAAGATTCCATGTCTTCCCCGGGGCAAAGCATTTCTGGAATGAAAGTTTCCTATTAGGATGCCTTGTAATTTCGGTGGGATGTAGTTTCAACTTTATGGCAAACTGCTTGCTGTGCCATTCACTCCAACACACACCCAACCGAATCTGGCTGAGTTCAGAGGACTGGTAACTGTCTGCTCAGTGGAGCAGCTCAGGAGAGAACATGAACCTTTTATTATGTTCCACTAAATCGGAGCTGTCCCGTGGAATGAAGACTGTCACCGTGTTGGCTGCCATCTGAGGGAGGAGTTCAGGTCAGTTAATTTAGCTGGGCTCCACTCCAAATATCAAGTGGTTTCAAAAAGCTTTTTGACATAAGTAAACTTCATTGACTGTGAAATAAAATTTGACCAAAATTTACCATCATTTTCAAATCAAGTTCAGTTATCATTGAGAAAGTTCTTGAGTGAAAGGCAGGCGTTACTAGCAATGTACACGTCTGCAGTGGAGGCTGCCTAGGCCCCGAGGACTCTGCAGTAGAGGGTGGAGTAGGATAAGCTCCTTTGAACACGGAGCACGGGTCTCCCCTGGGCAAATGGAGTGTATACAAACTAGCCAGTCAAGGACAGCACAGGGGGACTTTTCTAGGTGACTGAACTGAGGAGAGAACAATTACACACAGGGTATAGCCTGCTATAAATCACGAAAGATGGCGTACACGTTAGCAGGTGGTCCTTCCATAAAGTGAGCGCGGGCTCATAACCATGCAGAACAGCTAAGCTGTCCTCACTGTCCCAGTTCTGGGATCAGACAAGAGATTCTCAGCTAAGGGTGATTTTCCCCCTCGGCTGTGCAGAAGAGCCCCTGCCTGAATGACTGCATGACGATTTGAAGTCCACACTCTCGCTCGGCTGTGCACCATGTAACAGAGCTGGATTTCTCACATTGGCTCAGCAGGTGTTATAACATCTACTGGTCACTTACACATGGCTATCAGATGCAGGAGCACACACCACAGAAATAAATGCCTTGGAGAAGAAAGAGGTCACACGCCAAAGCTAGATTTTGTTATTATTATTTAGTGATACTGCGTGGAAAAAAATAACCGAAGTTAATTTGTAAGAAAAAAACATGAAAGTGATCTTAAAACCTTTCAGTAGAAAAGAAGATGGGAAAATCTCCAGAAAAAAAAATTGGAAATTTTAGCATGTGTCAAAGAATTAACATTTTTCCTCCTTTGTGTCAGGGATTGAACTCAGAGCCACGCCCTGGCTGAAGCACAGGTTCTAGCATAGAGCTACTCCACCAGCCCAGAGGATTTTGGAAACGCTAGCTCAGCACCTGGATTCACTGTAATAGTTAAATTACACTCTGAGCTTTTGGCTCAAAAGAAAAGGTTATCATCACCGGTCCTGTTCAAATGAGACTCCATCCCACGCATGGCAAGTCATCACTGGGAAGAATACCTGGTTTTGTCCACAACAGAAACAACATCTTACTCAAACAGCCGGATTACAATCAGAAGGGATCCAGTTTACACACCACACGGATGGATCACTTTAAGAGTGACAGGGACAATAAAAAGACAGACAGACCTTCCAAACTGCCAACTCACCACATTACAATACAATGAGACACAGAACAGTGACCTTGATTCTAGCTTCTAAATCTAGTTATTAAATTTGCGTGCTTCATATTTTCTTTTCTGAAATGAATTCTTTTCATTTATTATCAGTTTTTAACTGTGCTTTACCTGGAAGGCGGAGGCAGGACAGCTCAAATTTAAGACTACATTGGGAAATCCTTTGAGAATCTGCCTCAAAACCCACCATTCTGAAACTCCAAACCAAAAACCATTACCACCACCAACTGGGCAGAGCACATTAACTTCACCAAACTGAAAGTGAAAGAAACATGGGGTGGGGTGTGTGTGCGTGTGTGTGTGTGTGCAGTTTAGTGGGAGAGCATACACTTTAGATGCAAGAGGCTCTGGGTTCAATCCCCATCATAAACATGAAAAGACAGACAGACTGACAGGAAAGAAGGAGCTGAGGGAGAAAGGGAAGGTTGGAAAGATGGGGAGGGAGAGGAACGAGTCTTGGGGCGGTGGTGAATGGTCTGTTCCAAAGGGAACCTGCTGCTGCTGCTGCTCTGTGTAGAAACAGGGCAAGAACTTAATCATCTTTGGGAGAGAAGCCCTGGGTGACATCAGCAACAGCATCTCTGTATCCCTGCTCAGGAAGTAACCACATCTGCAGCACGGAGTTCTCCCCTTTGATGTCCGAGGGGAACATGACTATATCTGATTCCAAGAGCGCTGCTTACTACATGTCACAGGAATAGAAAGTGCAGGGCGCAAGCAACTCTCTATATTTAGATTGCCAAGAAGAAGGAATAAGACAAAATGGGACCCAGAGACTGCAAACCACATGAAATATGTCATATCAGCTAACGACGGCAACTAAGATTAGACATTTGACATTACTGTAAAATAAAGCTCTGTTTGGAAATAAATATTTTGTTTTATAGGCCAATTACTAGATGCTAAAAACATCAAATGGAAATTATAGTTTTTAATAAGAAATAATGTATAGTACATGAAATGATTATAGCAACAAATCTTAGGTTAAAATGTGCATATTAGGAGGGCTGTACCAAAACCCCTCTACTTCCATATGCTATATTATCATATTTCTAGTAGAACTAACATATTATTAGTTATTTAATTTTTAAAGGAATTTTTTCATTTACTTGTTACTCTTTTATGTGTGTGCTTCACATATGTTCTGTGCAGGCTGGTGTGCCTGTGGGGTCAGGAGGACAATCTGCAGGGGTCAGGCCTCTTTCTACCAGGTGCATTCTGGGAAAAGAACTCAGGTCACGAGGCTTGTTGCCACGTACCCTTACCCATTGAGACAAGCTACTTATAAAATGATCTCTTAGATATCCAAAACTGTAAGGAGTTTTGTTTTGTTTTCCAAATTTATCATCAGAGAAAATCTGAAGTCATCCAAGACCTGAAGCTTTGGAACTTTTAATCTTGGTCGGAATATTAACAATTCCATTCTTCTATAGAACATACTCTTCAAGCAGTATCAGCTACAGACGTCAGCATTCTTTACTCAAGACCTCTGAGTAGACAGCTCTGAAATGCAATAGATGATAAAGGATAGGCGTGCTTTCACAAAGAAATCTCCCAGGGTTCTACCCCTAAGCAAAGAACCACAGGCAGTCAGGGGCTGCTGAGAAGAAGACTCAGGCGTCCCACAGGGAACAGCAGCCCCTTAACTGGTTATCCGATTCCAAGTGGTCAGCCCTGAAACCATCCACATACCAGCAAGTCTAACCAGACCCAGCACACCGTGTTTACATAGCCCGTGTCTACATAGCGTGCATCTATCTATCCACGTAACAGTAACAGAGAGGCCTGGTGTACGGGAGGGGCTGGAGGGAGGGAAGGAAGGAAAATGATAGATAATTATATTTTAATTAAACAATATTTTCAAACCTGACCCCTTCCTTTCATTCTGACCCTGTATAAACTTTTCTTCTTTTGAGGAACTCACCCTGAGAGGGAAGCCATGCTGAGCTGGCAGCTTTATGAGAGAGTAAAATTGAAAGGTTTCTCTTCAATGACTAAGAATGATGTCACATAATGTGATTTCTTCATTACATATGAAGAAAAGAATTGAAAGTAACAATACAGACGTGTGCAAATTCTCCATACCTGCTACAAAGACACTATAGGGATCGTTTAGTTTCAGAAGGTTCGATCAGGTAGGTGTCTATATGAAATGTGAGCGCAATACAGGGGTGCTTGTTCATCTTTATGGTGACTTTTGTGTTAATATTTCAAAGTCAGTAAACACTGAATTCAACCTTAATATATGACAAACCATGAGTTACCTTACATGGAAAAACATTAAAACCAAAACCAAAACAAAACAAAAACCACCCAGCAAAAAAAACCACAACAAAAACCCTGGCTTGATTTCCTGTGCAGGATCTCCTGAAGACTCAGGCCTCTGAACCTAAAAGACTTTCCTTCGGCAGCTCAATGGTGTTCACGGATCTGTCATGTGATTTCAGAGGTAAAAGTTAGGCATCTGTGTGCCAGTTTGCTCACCTTTCCGTCAAAGCGCTTTATTATATACTGATCCAGGCCCAAGTCTGAAAAAGAGAGGAGAAGATGATTAGTCCCTAATCCTAACTCTCCAGAAATGCACACTGGCTCCTGGGTTTGTTTTAAATTACTCAGTTTAATGTACTAGATGGTTTAGCTACAATATTCATCCAACGTCACACAGGAATGATTACTTTGCTCTATTTTGAGACTCAAAGTACAAACGCTGGCAGGCAGACACCAACTCTTTGCATCTGTACAGAACAGCAAGGTGCCAGTGTGAAAGGCGCACGAGCCAGCCTCCACGCTGGGCTCACGTCTTTACCATAGCGCATGGATGGAGCGTTCTGCATCTCTGCTCCTAGTGATTCGGTTGCCGTTGTGAGTGACTGTCCTCTGAGCCAAGCAACTGCAGTCTTGGAAATTCTGTTGCATTCCCAGCAATGGGACTATCCCAGCTGGACCTGCTGACTGCAGGAGTCCCCTCAGAGACTGGGAGAGAGGACTGGGAGATCCTAACCTGAGTCTCCAGCTTTCCTTACCCCTGTTACATGCAACTGTGGCTTAATTACACATGGCATCCTGGAGATGCAGGAGCATATCGGCCAGGGGAGACTGGCAAGCAGGGATCCATCTACGGGGCTGTGAGAAAGTCCTCATCCCTACTGGATAAAGGCTACCCTACTGGACAGCCTGTTGGGATGGAACAAAATAAAGCATTCTAAGATGAAGGAAAATAGCAACTTCTTGTGCAAGAGGCCTGCTCTAAACATCATGCTAATTCTGCAGACAGAAAGTGACAGTGGAGAGGAATCAGGAACTGGTGAACAAGAGAGTGACAGAAATGGTTCATCCATCAATCAACATCTCTGTGTGAGACAGACAGTATTGTCTTAAATTCTTTACAGAAACAGTTTGGATGGAGTTTCCAATATGGAGAGAGATAGGCTACACCACAGTTACAGTATATTTGGTTATTGTAATAGACAACCTAACAGCAAAGTAGAACATCTTAGGTACAGCCTTTGTCAGATGCAGTTAGATGTGTCCTGAAGAGAAGCAGTTTGGGTGTGCCTCTAAAAGTCTCCTTAGATAAGAATGCTGAAGAATGGAAAGTTCCTATTTTAAGGCAAGTTGTTTGAGGTCTTGTGGTTTTGCTCTATGACTAGAGGCAAAGTCAGCTGGGTGGCCTGAAGCTACCCCACCGAAAGGTGAAATGGTCCTGCCCCTATTGATTTGCCTTGGAGCCCCTCCCCCCAGGATGGTGACTTGGTTCAGCCAGCCAAAGGTGCAGGGGAGAACTGGGGACTTTTATAAGCAATTAGGCCTTTGCTCTCTCTCACTTCCTCTCTCTCCTTGGAAGAGCCTTTATAGAAGGAGCTCTGTGTCTGCGGCTGGCAGGACACAGGTAAAACAGGATACTAGGAAAGAGAGCTAAGGGTTTGAGGAGCTAGGAGAAAGGTAGACTAGCTAGATAGAATGGTACAGTAGGGATTTCTAAAGAGCTAGCAGTTTAGTTGTAGAATCAGGCTTGTAGATAGTCTGTATGTAGTTAAGAAAATAAAGTTACCACACTGAGCTAGAAGGGTTTTACCTCAGTTTACACCTCCTGTGTCTTTATTGGAATAAATGCTAGATAATTTAAATGGTTACATACATGAAGTGGGGAAGGGCTTACGGTGGCAACGTATCTATTCCATCTGAAGTGGTAAGACTAAATTCTCACACACACTGTGAGAAGTATGTATAATCCCTATCACAATCACTAAATACATAAAAGAAATATAGTCAAGATACAAAGATCACTTAAAATACAGTAAAAACATTTAAGTAATCCACAAAACAGCCAGGAAAATATGTAGGAGGTGAGGGAGAAAGATAGCTCTAAGCTCAAGCTAAGGGCAAGCTCTTAAGGACACAAGCAGCAGCCCACATGCTGGCCTCTTCCCAAGCATTCTGCTTTCCTCAGTCAATGTCTCCTCCGTCACCTGCTTAGATGACTAACCAGGAGACCAAACCATCCTCGTAATGAACATCACACCGGTTCACACCGGGTCGGTGACCACGCCACTTCTGCAGGGACAGTCAATCTTGAGAGCAACAGGGCAGCATGTGTACACACAACAGTTCACCCATGTCACATTATTCAGAGGCCAGGATGGTAAAGGGGATTATCAATCACAAGGAGCCACTTAGTAAATTCAGAATGTGTAAACTGTGACAAACTTCAAAGTCTTTCGTAATGTGACAAAGCCAATTTTCTGGGCTCACACGAGATGCCACCAGTGTAGAATATGAAATTTCAATATCCCAAGCTTTTATAAAACATCTGGAAGGCTAAGGGTTTTACTGTGATCTTAAGTGTTACAGCTCCTCTGCCCTTCAGTCAGTGTGTGAACAGTAGTCTACTTTATCTTCTATGAGCTTTCACGGCCTTTGATCACGTACTTCTTGGCCTTTACTAAGCACTAATCTTTTTATAATCAAAGTTTCAGATTTCAGCAATATCTCCTGCATATTAACCTTGGGTGGAGGTGTGATACTTTGAACTGGTATGCAAACTTCATGAGATTTCTAATGCTAACAGTAGGTGTGGTTGCACAGGTTTGTCACCCAGAGCTAGGGAGGTGGGGACAGCCAGCAGAACTCTTCAAGCTTCAGGTTGATGTGAGACCCTATCTCACAAAGCTAGGCAGATGGAGCTAAGCTGACTTTTGGTCTCTGCATGTACACACAAATCTGCCCAAATGTGTACACATACACTCATAAACACACACAAAGGGAACAATGACAATGCTGAATAAATCTAGGCCACAATGGCTACCAGATACCTAAAATCAGCACTTTTAAAAATTAAAAAAAAATTTTTGAGAATTTAACTTAATTACCACATTTCTCCCTCCCTTTGTTCTCTCCAAATCCCCTCATATGCCCCTCCCCATTCTCCTTCAAATCCACGGCCTCTGTTCTCATGGTTACCACACACATATATGTACATACATATATATTCCTAAATATAATCTGTTTAGTCCATATGTTACTTGTATGTATGCTTTCAGGGCTGACCTTTGGCACCGGACAATTGGTGTGCTCTTCTGGGGGAGGGCCACCTGTCCTGCTTCCAGCTTTCCTCAGTTGCCACTGGTCCTTCATGTAGGCTTGAGGCCTTGTGGGCTTTCCCCATCCAGTCTGGTGTGTCCCCTGTTGCCATCCTTTAAACTCCATACTTTTGAGTAATTACAACTCATCAGCTGTCTACAACCCAAACAGACCTTCCAAACTGACTGCAACTTATATCGCTTTTCTCCTTAAACCATGTTCACCGAAGGCTTTGAGGTCCTTCATGTGAGCGGGTTAAGCTAATCACAGCAGTAGGAAGAAAGAGCCAATGCTGGCAAACAGAGCACAGCACTGTGGATACTGTTCTTACTGTGCACTATTTATTATGCCACCCGATCCGAATGACTACACAGAAGGGGCAGCTTGGTAAGGGACAGCCATCAGGCCACGTCTAGCCAACTTACTGTGTCTTTCTTCTCCTTAGATCCCCAGGGAGAAAAGTAGTATTTATTACATTGCTGTTGAGTCAGCTAAGCCTTAAATATTTACTATTTGTTCTTTAAATCAAACTTTGCTCTAAGTCCAACCTGGGCTATAGAGTGAGACCCTGTCCCTATGGCAAATTAAAAAAAAAATGGATATCCCCTATTCAGCAGGGTGTCATAGCTCTATATATCTTCAAAAACAGTACTGTTTTAAAGTGCTTAGATTTCTAAACGCATGTACTAGATGTCCAAGCTACTAACTGAGATGTTAACTTTGTAAAAACAACGTACTCAGGCAGCCCACTTTTAACCCCCACACGATGCTCAACACCGAGGGCTAGCACATCCCCTTTCTGAAAGCACATGAAATGAACATGTCAAGTTTGCAGGCCATATGCTTAAGGTCTGCCGAAACTGCTTCACTCTGCTCTTCCAGCTCAGAAACTGCCACCCGGGAGTGAGTGTGCCCTGTCCATACAACTTCCTATGAGCAATGAAATCTGAACTGCATCTAATTTTTACATGTTCTAAATATTCTCGTGTTCCTCTGCCCCCCTTAAAAATGTACAGATTGCTCTCTGTGGGCCATAGAGAATCAGGGAGTTGGCTGTAGTTGGTCTGCTCTATAGGAACAGTACTGCGAAACTCTGCAAACAAATCAACAAATCAACAGAAGCAGAACACAGGAGGTGTACAGTTATGAGTCACTGACTGAAAGTGGTTTTTTTTTTTTTTTTCATTTTATTTATATGAGTACTCTGTAGCTGTCTTCAGAGACACCAGAAGAGGGCATCAGATCCTATTACAGATGGTTGTGAACCACCATGTAGTTGCTGGGAATTGAACTCAGGACCTCTGGAAGAGCAGTCAGTGCTCTTAACCACTGAGCCACCTCCCCAGCCCTGAAAGTGTTCTTTCTAGGCAAGATTATCCTTAAAACTGTGAAGTGTGATCCTAAAGGGAACATGGGGGCCAGGACACCCGAGGCCTGCTCCTCCATTCATACTCTAATTCTCCTGTGTAGAGGAGACCACAGATAAAAAGTGCTGTGTTCTCCCCTAAGCTCCTTTGCTTCATGGAACTGTCATCCACATCCCATGTTTCTGGTTACTTGCATTGCACAGTGACTGTGAGAAAGCCTTTTGGTCTTGTTTTTTGGAGACAAGGTTTCTCAAAGCCTTTTGGTCTTGTTTTTTGGAGACAAGGTTTCTCTGTGTAGCCCTGGCTGCCTGTAACTCAGAGCTCCACGGGCCTCTGCCTCCTGAGTGCTGGCTGGGGTTAAAGGTGTGAGCTAGCATGGCTGGTGAGAAGTGTTTTTTTCTGTAATGGAGTCCGTATCCTTATATCCACGGAGGGTGGTGATGCAGCAGCTTCCATCAGCTGCGTGTCGGTGGAGGACCTGTGTTCGAGGAGCACACTGCGTGTTTCCCTTAATGTGCTTCACATGTGCCTATGGTTCCTCTCTAGACAGTTTTGACATTTAGAACCCAAGTATTCTTAGTCACCTTCTCACTGAAATGCATCGGATCATTTCCAATGGTTTAATTTGGGGCCGTGGATAGTCTGTGCTCCAAGATTATTTTAAACAGTTCTGAAATGAAGGCTCACACAGATTTAGATCCTCTGGGTATCCTGGGATATTAGTATGTGTGAAGTCATGACAAAACAAAGCTGAAATCGGCAAGGCTGGCTGGAAAGCAGCCGAAGACAGAAATCTAAGCAACAGAGATCGACTTTACTCTCCGCCTCACACAGGAGCAGCCTGTTTTATTTTGCTGAATCAACACCCCTGCTAATGAATTCTTGCTAATGAGCAAATGAGAGTGAAGCCAGTTTCCACCCTGTGGGTGACAAAGATCTTTCTCCTTAGGGCAGAGCTGGGTGACCTAGGCAGCAGCTCTGACACACCTGAGCCAAGTGACCCTTCTCAGGGCCTGTTTCCTCACTGCTAACTGGGATGATGTCAGGTCTTTGTTGTTTATTCTTGAGCCAGAGTTTCACTAGGTGCCTGTGGCTGCCCTGAAGCATCCTCCAACCTCCGTGTGTGTGTGTGTGTGTGTGTGTGTGTGTGTGTGTGTGTGTGTGCAGGTATATTTGAGACAGAGTTTTTCTGTGTAACCCTAGTTGTCCTAAACTTGCTTTGTAGTTCAAGCCGGCCTTGAACTCACAGAGATCATCTGCCTCCCAAGTGCTGGGATCAAAGGTATGCTCCACCACTGACTGGCTTAAAACAGAAACCTACTCTCCGCCTCACACAGGAGCAGCAGGTTTTATCTTGCTGAATCAACATCCCTGCTAATGAAGTCTTGCTGATGAGCAAGTGAAAGTGAAGCCGGTTCCCAGTTAGATCTCACTTCACTGTATCAGAATTCTCCCTTCTGATTCTCGTAAGAGAAGCACTTGTTTGTTATTCCGGCTTCTCATGAAAGCAAGAAGGGGGCTCGGTGTACTGCGCTCCCTGTAACTATTCAGTGTATGAAGGACATCTTTCGGTAATTAACGGGGGTGGGGGGGCTCAGTGGTAGAGTGCATGTATTGCGTGCAGAAAGCCTTTCGTTCAATTCCCACCATCATAAAAGCAAATAAGCAAAGAGCGAATGGCTACAGAGTTAAATGCTGGAGTGTAGAAAGGCAACCAGAAAACATAATTGTTTTCAAAGGAATAAACATAATATCCCTTAAGTGAGGAAACAGTCTTCCATGGCCTGTCTTAAAAGCGTTGGTTCATTTTCATTGTCACACTGGAAGCAAATTATATTTTTCAACATCACTGATAGAGATGAGATTTTTATTTGAATGGTAATTGCCTTACAGGCATAAAAATGTTTTGCTATCATAAAAATACAGGGAAATATTTGCAAGCGTCTTTCTTCTGCATACAATCATGCTCGGCTTTCTTCCCTCCTATGTCATAGAACGAGCTGCTAAAACAAGCTTAAAAGGGTCTAAGTTTTGGTTTGGGGAGCTCAGTGGTTAAAGGTGCCGGTCCCTAAGCCTGGCCACCTGAGTTTGATCCCCAGGACCCACATGGTGGAAAGTGAGGACCAACTCCCTGAAGTTATCTTTTGGTATGCATACCCTCGTTAAATAATTAAGTACAGATATTTAAAAAGAATCTACATGCAAAGTTCAATGCAATTAATGAGAAGCTTGGTATGTCTTATTCTAAAACTCTCTGGCAGCAGAAAGCAACTATGAATATATAAGAACCTATTGGGAAATAAAGGAACATTTGAGGTACAAAAAATATATCCTTCTGATTTCAACACTCATAGTTATTTGGTAGTATCCTTTTCTGGAACTTTCTGTGTATTTTTCACATAGATGAAACACAGAGGACCGAGAAGCACAATGAATACTGTAGGGATACAACCACTGAAAGGCAGAAGAGAGAAATTCTGCAGTACAAGAGACCTGCTACATCAGGTTTTGTGTCAATGTGACATAAGCTGGAGTTATCACAGAGAAAGAAGCCTCCCTTGAGGAAAGGCCTCCATGAAATCCAGCTGTAAGGCATTTGGTCAATTAGTGATCAAGGGTGGGAGGGCTTGTTGTCGGTGGAGCCATCCCTGGGCTGGTAGTCTTGGGTTCTATAAGAAAGCAAGCTGAGCAAGCCTGGGGAAGCAAGCCAGTAACATCCCTCCATGGCCTCTACATCAGTTCCTGCTTCCTGCCATGCTTGAGTTCCAGTCCTGACTTCTTTTGGTGATGAACAGCAGTGTGGAAGTGTAAGCTGAATAAACCCTTTCCTCCCCAACTTGCATCTTGGTCATGATGTTTGTGCAGGAATATAAACCCTGACTAAGACACCTGCATTCTTTCACAGGTAAATGATGCCTTGTGCAGCCTTGCTAAGAGGCTCGGGATCAGTGTGGGAGAATGGAGGAGAGACAGAGGGACACAAAGCCGGGGTAAGGGTGTGTACTCCGCTTTCTACTCCACAGAGGCAGGGCTCACTTCTTAGCCCAGCCTCAAAGCCAGTCTGTGTAGCAGAACTGGCCGCTCAACAGAGTGGAGAGGAAGGTGCAAGTTTGCATCAAACACATTTGTGTTTTGTATGCATCCTATACACACAGCCCACTGATGATTTTATCCGGTGTTTTCTGTGCACTGGGGTTCTGACTGCAATTCATAAGGGGTCAAATAGGGGATTATCCACTCGAATCGTCACACTGACATCCAAATCAGATTCTCTCTTCCCTGGGGTTCAGCTGTTGTTACAGACTGCAGCCATCAGTCCTTCAGTGACTTCCCCAAAGCATCTGTGCAGAAATTACATGCTTGGTCATGTCCTTCTGCAGTTTCTGTTCTACTTAAATGCTTGAGCCAGAAGAATGGAAAACTGCTGAGTAAGTCAGAATGCACAAAGCAAACATTTGAGAGCCAGGTCTGCACTGGCCCTCTCCTCCCTTCCCTCCCAGGCAGTCAGCCACTCTGTCAGGGCTGCTGTCTGTCAGAGCTGCTGTCTGTCCTACGGCTAGCTGCCACTGAGCTGGAAAACTGTGGTAGGCCAAACCACCACCATGCTGTCACCAAAACCTAGCAGACTCACTGTATAGTAAGCACTCCCCTGCTTGTTTGCTGATGAGACTTTGGGTCACAGAAACACTGAGTCCTGTCCTCTCACTAGTGGTTGTCCCAAGAGAGCGTCTGAGGCTTGGAGTACCCTCCTCGGCCACTGTCCTCACTGGGATGCTGTGTGTTTCTTGTGGTGGTTTGAATATACCTGGCCCAGGGAGTGGTTCTATTGGGAGGTGTGGCCTCATTTGAGTAGGTGTGGCCTTATTGGAGGAAGTGTGCCAATGTGGGCTTTGAAGCTCTGCCCAGTGCAGAAGAGTTAGCCTTCTTCTAGCAGCCTTCAGATGAAGATGGAGAACTCTCAGCTCTGCCTGCACCATGCCTGCCTGGGTGCTGCCATGTTCCTACCTTGATGATAATGGACTGAACCTCTGGACCTGTAAGCCAGCCCCAATTACATGTTGTCCTTATAAGAGCTGCCTTGGTCATGGTGTCTGTTCACAGCAGTAAAACCCTAACTAAGACATTTCCACACAATGTTTATCTTGGCTAGTTTCCCTAAATGAGACATATACACTGTATTGTAGACTGATTCCAAGCATTCAACTGGTGATTTTAGTTACTGGCTGGACCTATGAACATTACTAGGTCCTGAGAAGGGAATAGTTGAAGCCATAACAGTTATCCCAAACCTGCTTTCCACGCTAGCTACTTACGTTCTGGCTGCTTCTCATTGGGTGTTATAGAGCGCACGAAGTCCTGCGGAGTCATGAACACTTCGGTTTCACCAGGTTCATTGATTACTTTCAAGGTGGCAAAATATCGGAAGATTTTGTCAGGTGTGGAGTAGGCTCGGATCCGATTCTCATACTCCATCACCTGAAACGAGGAAGTCAGAGGGTGTCACTGCACTGAGCTGCGCCCAAGGCCACCCATTCTCTGTAGTGTTTGCCTTAGTTTTGAAATAAGTTGATTATCTCTCTTTTATTGGACTTTTTTATATTAAATAAGCTCAATTTCAAAAAAATTAAAATTTCTTTCTTGTAAGATATCATTCTCACCTTAAAGGAAGGTTTACAGAACTTTGTTAGAGCTCTTTAAAAAATAATTTTCTAGTTACTAAAAGCTAGAAAAAAATTAACACCACCATTAAAAGAATGCAAAAGCCACAGTAACAGGGAAATACTGCATATAGGCTCTTAAATAACCAAGTTTTTAAAAGGGATTTACTTTCTGTGGAATTGCCTGACTACTAAGAGAAAACAGACTGGAAATTTCACAGGTTTGGATGGTTAAGAGTCCTTGTAAGAAAAGATAGATGAATAACATGGAAAAATAAAATTGTGTTTAATGGAGGCTCAGTAGGTCTGAAGCGCTTAGATGATGGTTTTAGGCAAATTCCCAGCAAACCTTTACATGCAGCCTATCTAGAATGAAACAAGAGTTCAGAGCACAAGTGCTTATACAGGTGACAACCACAAATAGTGACATCTAACTCAAAGTCTGTCACATCACTGTGACAGCTAACTCTCCTACAGAGCACACAAAGTACTATACCAATTACAGTGCTTTTGTCTCTAGTATTGAATGGTATTTGACGATGACGACTTCTTCTTCTTCTTCTTCTTCTTCTTCTTCTTCTTCTTCTTATTCTTATTCTTATTCTTATTATTATTATTATTATTTTGAGACAGGGCCTCAAGTATGGCAGCTGGCCTCAAACTCTCTCAATAGATGAGACAGACCTTGAAATTCGGATCCTTTTCCTTCAATTCCCAAATGCAGGCATTACAGTGAACACTACTGTACCTAGTACTTTATAAAGCTCCAGGGAGCATTCCCAGTGCCACATGAATACAGGAAAGTACCCACCAAGTGAGTTATATCCCCAGCCCCACATATCTGAGTTTTATAAGCTAGGGCAGCCAATACTAAATAGAATCTTGTAAAACTGTGTCAATGCAATAAAACCTAAAAACTCATTAGTTTCGTGTCTATAAAGCAGGTGATATTTTTTAAATTATCAATACGTTAAGTCTGTCCAATTAACATAGCAATTACTGTAGATGTCAACCCTGAATAGAGACTTCGAGGTCACTGGCAGCCGCTATCTAACAATGCTCTTAGTTCTACAATCAATGTGATTTTAGCAACTGAGAGCAAACTGCCAATTGATGACTCCACATGACAGGAATTCAGCGATAGCGTGCATTAAAATCTGAGGTTTTAGGGAGCTGGAGAGAGGGACGGCTCTGAGGTTAAGAGCAGACAACTAGGGTTCGATTCCCAGCACCCACAACATGGCTTCCAC